GCTAGGACATCGGTAGCTGAAAAGGAACTCAACATCTTAAACTTTCAGAACCGTTACGTGAATATTAAGAATGGTTTCTGTGAATGCAATTGGGTCACACACTCTAGGAGGGATTTCGTGCTGAATGCAAAAAATACAACAACACTCACAATCAAACAAATGAGACTAAAGTTATGAACTGTTCGGCTGACTATGCAAGTTAAAACTTACATGTTACGGAAGCGAGTCTACGAAGAAGGTATAGTAAACCGGCCATCATCTGCGTTGTTCTTGGTCGACGCCCTCCTTCAATGGAGACCTCGAAAGACCTTCTCATATGCTAATGCAGTAAAAACGAATTGCAGTAGTTAGTGAAGCAATAAAAATATTTTTAGCATGCAACTTACATCTAGCAGAATTGATGCAATATCAAGTGTCTGATTATAAACCTCCAGTCTTCTTAAAAAGTCGCCATCTAAAAGAATTATCAGTGTTAAGTCGCTAACATTAGAGTATTTAAAGTTTATTTTAACAGAAACTGGTTTCGTGATAAAACAAAATATTAAATTCGACACTTTGAAAAGAGAAAAGCAGGGAAGAGGAGCTACGAAAAGTTCTTTTTATGGAATGATACAAAAGATTGTCTTTGTGAGTACCAGAATAATTAATAGAGTAGGAAAAAGTGAAGATGGTGTGAGAGGGTCCACCGACAGTGGCAGTCTTTCTCCATGATTTGAGAATAAACGAATAAAAAGGCATGCTTTATTACCTGCAAACACCAACTTCGTAGTTTCCGTTCCCTTCTTTGGTAATCGAAAGCTTATAAGGCTCTTCAATAGCTCGACCAAATTAACTGAAATGACATAAATAAGAAAACGGATAATTAACCAGGATTTGGTTCCTCTGAGAAGTCATGCCCAAAATTTGGCCCCAAGGTGAGTGGCTGCTTGAAATCAAGAAATGTACGAATTTTATTTACAGAGAGCTGGTTCAGATCGTCAAAATTATTTTCAACCAATCTCAGAAAGTCGATGGACTGTTGCCGAAGTCGCCGTGAAGTGAGTATAAGCCCCAAATTCAAACGTTTCTACAAAGGAATTATGTAGACGAGCATTAGGCGTTGGGCAAAGTGTCAAATCAGAAAAATGCCAGACCCTCGCATTCACAATATACATTAAAAAATTCGCCAATATTTATAAAGGCTTCCTACCGGACTTTTGCTGGACAACTATGTCATAACTAAAGAAAGTTCATTAATCTCTGCCGAAGGCATTACACCATTTTACTGACGATTGAATCAAAACGTAGCCATAGCAAAACTCTAATGAGTTAGTTAAGGGCAATAAATAAGAAAAACTCCACACGTGTCATTAATCCTTGGAGCTTACACGATACGACCTCCGTGATTTCAGAACGTTATCTTGGAAAGCTCTGCGACGAGTAGGCAGCGTTCTTATTGTCTTCTGAAAGTCTCTTTCTTCTTTCAGTAAATTCTGTTCAAATATGCGTTGACCTTCAGCTGAAAACAAATTAACAATCATAAATCATACCCTGCTGAAACTTGGAATAGTCTTCGTCCGAAAGAGAAGGAGAACATACAAGCTCGTTTGGTTTTAAGTCATCTTGAGGCTCTAGGGCACTAATGGTGCAGAGATCAGCCGCTGCAACACGAACAACGTAACTACAAGTCAATACTTCGGTGACATCAAGGATTGTAGGGAATGGTAAGTCTCTACGGCAGACAAACCGCACTTCCGTACTGCGAGGTTTGCCAGTAACATCGCAAAGCGTCCCATGGTCGTAGAACTGACTATGGTATTTATGGCGAACTTGTAAATCCTATAAAATATATCGAACTAATTAATCATACAGATGGGTCGGCCTGAGTCCAATCGAAATCTCTAGTAAAAGTACCAAGAGAGGTTGTAACCAAAGCAGAACCCTTGTCCTCGTGATATTGACTTATTTCTTTTCCAGTACATAACTTGTAATTCCACCAACCAGCAGACTATTGAAGCAAATTAGCATTCAATCCTGATCCATACCCAGATAAGGCAATCGGTAGTGTTCCATGAAGAAAAGACATTTTTTATATCCATAGTAGTAGTTTCAGAAAGACTATCAGTAGGCTTATGTCGCCGTGCAATTGTCGGAACAATACATGCAAACTGCTGACCGTAAACAGAGATGATTTCAAAGTGGTCACCATCAACCTAGCAGAAAATACCCAACAAATTGAAAAAAACCTCTGATAATTTTACTGGGTCCTTCTTTATTTTAATATTATATATTGGTGAGTTGCTAACTGCTAAAGCAGGCACAGTAACACACCACAATGACGCCAGCACTTGCACCCAAAACCTCATTGAGAAAATTGATTGAGGATTGCATCAGGCTACGCGTTACTTGACCTAGAATAAGGAAGTACATTGGTAGGTTTGAAGTCACTTAATCGTGAGTAAATAGAATTATTTAGTAGTTCTAAAAATTTGAAGTAAATGCATAATATGCCTATAAGTGATTAGTTATGTTTATTGGTTGGAGCAATTTACTTATACTTAGGCCCACGAGAGTAACTAAAGGGGTTTCGAAAATTCAATTGTAACCTGAACTATTTCAGATGCATCGAACCATTTCGTTACTTTTTCCATTAAAAATAGATTTGCATATTTTATAACTAAACTTTTGACATTTACACTAGCGCTACATCAACATAGATGAAAATACATTTTATCATCTCGGTATAAACATTTTTTAAAATATTTATTAGAGTTAATCATCGATTAGACGAAATATCCGCTTAAATTAATACATACCCTATTTGTACTCAAAAATAAGGATATCCCAAATACCGATTCCCCTACAACTTGAGCCTATGGATAAAATCTCACAGAACGTTGATTTAGTGTTGACGATAGTTGAAAGAATGATGTGGTAAAAACGAGGCAAAAAATTGATTCATTTTACTCAATGTCTAAAACTCTTTTTTGCTACTGATTGTGTCAAACCATTTTTCAAAGTAATTTTTTTAAGCATATTGAAACCCTTTGACAAATCGCCAGCAATACAGCCGTCATCAGATTTCTATATTATTGATGCGCACGAAGAGTAATTATTAAAAACTGAATTATGCTAATACGAATTAAAATCCTTGACCTTCACAACAATAAACGAAAATCATGTGCCAATTTTGGATTGAATTTAATTGTATTATTTTAGTTCAGTCCGGCAAAGATATTTTATTATAATTTCTGCCAATCCTACAATTATTTCTCTAAAAAATTTTGGTAACTGATGGAATAATTCTCTAACTTAGGTAATCTGCACTAGAATATTTCATGTTCGGATAGTATTCGAAACACACTGAGTGATAAGAAGTGAAACGGCTTCCGGTGTAACTGCTCAACTGTACTTCAAATCTCATACATTTAAATCCTTCAAATCAAAATAATCCGAGTGCAACCCAAACAAATATATGTTCAAGTGCCTTAAGCCATCCTACCAAAATGATGGTCTGGCATGTATCAAAACTTCATATGTTGTTATGATTTGGCTATTAAAGCAAGCACATAACCTAGGCTCAATTAAAACACGACCATAAAAATCTGCTGACTTCTAATTTTTGTATAATTACATCCATTTCGACGCTTCGATTTCTAAACAGATGAATTTTTCTTAAAAAATAAACGAAATAGGTTGCCCAATAAGGCAAATAAGTACATTTTTAAGATCAACTTTTGCAGGGCAAAATGTTTAGGACGATGATTGACAATCAGGAATCAACTGAATATTTAGTGACCTAGTTCCGTGGTACTATTGAGTTATCTAATTTGGGCATTGTGTTTCATATTTACAAGGCAATTTCTTTCTGACGGTTTTTTTTTTGCTCTTGTTCCATTGGCATATGTTCACGAAATGAACTGCTTTCTGACGATGGGCTTGTATTCCGTATTACGTTTCTTTCCATATTATATAAGTTGATTTATTCCTTCCTATGGTGAGAGGTTCGAGTCTTTTAGCGACGACCAGATATGCTGCTGTTGAAATGCTTGATGCGCAATTTACACTTTTTATTGTTTAAAATTCAAACTACCTGTAGAGTGCATGAACGAACATATTCTTACAAAATAAGGAATGACAAAGATTAGTAACTTGGCGTTCTAAGTTGAAAAGTGGTTTTTGTGAAAACTTTTTTAACATTCGCTATTGTAAATCTATAGGTATGAACAACCAATAAAAGTAATTATGCAAATGATGTAACCGAAACAATATATGATATTAAATGTGTGAAATAATAAAAATTAAGTAGTAATATTTTATTACGGTTAAAAACATATCTTATTTATATGCAATTCAAAATCCATCTATGATCGCACTGCCTATTGATGGACATGCCAGAATTCCGTTAAATGCCATCCATCCTTATTGCCTGGCAGTATAGCCTAGAACTCGTATCAAGATTATTGGTGCAACAAAACGGGTTTTATTGACCAATCACAAGCCAGAATCACACGTCAGGCTCCTTCCATCCGAGTCATCCACACTGGCCGCGCCGCTCAATATTTACTGCTTCTCATTCGTGTCTATCTCTGATTGGCTGCTTGTCTTACTCGCATGTTACTGGAACGCAGAGAGACAGAGGATTATCTGAGGCCAGGTGGTCCAATATATCTGCTCCCTGATCCGTCGCCACACTGCCTCCCCCGCAGCAGTGAAGCTGTCCTCCGCTTCTGGCTTGGTTCACCGCACTGTTGTTGATATCCAATGTTGAAAAAGAAAAATTCAGTTCGACACTCCCTGCACCCCACATCTGGCAGGATAGTGGCTCAGGCGAAAAGTTGACGAGGGACTTTGCTCTTGTAGGCTTGCAGGAAAGGCTCATCACCCATTGAAGGTCCTTCGCAGATGCAGTCCAGCTGGCTTTCACTGTCCAAGTCATCGTCGCTGAGTTGCCAATGCCTCTTCAGATGCAGTTGTCCTAATCCCGGGCAATGTCTATGGATCCACTTTATTGGACATCGGATTACCGCCATGACAAATTCAGCTGGCATTTAAGGGTCTTTGTCTCTGTTATCCATTAAAGAGAAAGGGCTGGGGTTCGATGAGCGTAATTCGAACGCGTCCGCTGCCCCCAATGTAGAATGCCCGAGTCCAAAAAAAAAAGACCGGTGCAACAGAACAGGCTCTATTGACCAATCATAAGCCAGAGCCACGCGTCAGGCGCCTTCCATCCGAGTCCACCACGCTGGCCACGCCGCTCATTGTATACTGCACCTCAGTTGTGTCCTTCTCTGGTTGGCTGCTTATCTTCCTCGCATGCCATTGGAACGCAGAGAGACACGGGATTGGCTGAGGCCATGTGGTCCAAATGTCTGCGCCCTGATCAGACGCCACCGTAGAATAACTGAGCCCTAATAGGTAAAAGACCGGTACAACAGAACAGGCTTTATTAACCAATCAGAAGCCAGAGATACGCGGCAGGCGCCTTCCATCCGAGTCCACGATGCTGGCCACGCCGCTCATTATATACTACTGTAGCGGAATGACAGGCGGCAGCCATATTGGTGACGGTGGTGAGCGCGGCGCGGAGGCGACGTCACGTGACCGGTGGTG